AGCGTCTCGATTCTTGTCCAGCCTTGATTATTCATATTGGCCTCGTTTCGAGAATGGTAAGACGCACTTACATTCGTGCACGTGACACCTTTTTCGTTTCAGTCACTTTTTATAAATTGCGCACTCGAAACCAACCGAACTCTGGGGCCCATAACCTATTAGAGTAGTGCGGTGGAAGGGCAATACAGAGGCGAAGATACAAGAACACAAATAGTCTGTTTATTGTTACTGTCGGATATTACATTATCGCAAAAGGAGAACGTTGTGCTTACGTGGTCGCGTAAAGACGAGAATTAAATGGTGTAACCACAAAACGCAGAGCGACAACAAAACTAGTGCTATAGGTAACTAGGAGCGCTTGACTACAAGTACTAAACGACTGCGCGCGCACTCGCCCTCGGTGAGTGCAGAATCAAAGACATGCAGCGCCAAGAACAAACTGTTCGTACCAACACTCTCCCTCAAGTCTTTGAACGCAGGCGTTAATCATTCAAGGAACGCGTCTAACTACTCCTAAATTCGTGATACAATCTCGGTGAGACGACGCGGGTAGACCCTTGGTTAGGACGTCGGCGGGCATCTCCTTCGATGGCATATACTTCAAGGTCACGTACCCGTCCTCGACAGCGTTTCGCACGAAGTGATGTCTCACGTCTATATGTTTGGTACGTGAGTGATGCGTCGGGTTTTTAGCTAACTCTTGAGATCCTAGATTGTCGTTGTAGATAACGATGGTTTTCATAGGTAACCCGGTCACCTCGTTGATGAAGCGTTGTATGTGTATTGCTTCTTTGGTGCTATCGGCTAGAGCCATGTACTCAGCTTCGGTCGATGATAGAGCGACGGTCTGCTGCTTTCTCGATTCCCAGCTCGTAGCCGCACCGGCCAATTTGAAAGCATATCCGGTGTATGATTTTCTGTCTTTAGTACAGCTTGCCCAATCGGCATCGGCGAAGCCACAAATTGAGTCATTTGTTCGCGAATACATCAGCCCGTAATCCAAAGTCCCCTTCAAATACCGCAGGATTCGTTTTCCGGCAACCCAGTGCTCCTTTCCGAATTTGCTGCTAAATTGGCTTAATGAATTTACGGCAAAGGAAATATCCGGTCTGGTGCAAACCGCCAGGTACATGAGACATCCTATTAGTTCCCTAAACGGAGCGTCAGCTTCTGTCAAGGGATTTTCGGTTTCTTTCAGCTTCAGAGCTATGTCCACAGGAGTCGCAACCGGATTGCAGTCTTCCATTTTAAATCGCCGCAGCAGGTTTCTTGCGTACCCTTCCTGGCAGATGAATGCTTCGTTTCCGGATTGGTGAAACTCTAAACCGAGACAATGACTTATTTTGCCCAGATCTCTGAGAGCGAATCTTTCCTTTAATTTCCTCTTAATTTCGGAGATCCAATGATCGTCATCCGATGCGATGATGAGATCATCAACGTAGATTGCGATCGTCATCCGTTTTTCGTCGCGCTCTGCAGTATAGATGCTAACATCTCCACTCGTTGGTTGTAGTCCCATAATGCAAGTCCCGTAATGCTTGACTGAGCTTTCTATGCCATTGACGCCCAGCTTGTTTGAGCCCGTACAGTGCTTTATTAAGTGCACATACTCTGTTTCCGGAGCATTTCCTTGAGCATTCGGATTCTTGCAGTTCGTGACGATTGATCCTTGC